TTCAGGGTGTAGGGTTTAGGGTTTAAAGCCCCAAACCGCTGCCAGATCATGGAGCAAGCCATCCAGCAAGAGCAGGAGCTGAAAAAGTGTCCGGGCTGGAACCAGAAAGGGCGACTATATTGTGTTATAATACATATATATATATATATATATATATGTATATGTATATGCACTATCATATCATATCTTGTTTAACTTGTATGATATTAACAACTCATATACTGCTATTGTGTTATAGCAGATCATATAATATCAACATTTTATGATATGATAATTTATCTTCTACTATTATATTGAAGGCCAAAGGAAATCTATATTCCAACAAGGCAGGGTTCAGCGCTTGCTAGTGCACGCAGTACAGACTCCCAGCCGGACTCGTTGGACACGCATCTGCAGCTGAATTGGCATGTCTTGGAAAGGCAGACAGGCAGACATATTGTCAGATAGCAGATATAGAAGTGGTGCATGCATCCATGCATGCATGCAAGGGTGCATGCAGTGTGTTTGTAATGCAGACATGTCCAAAGCCACAGATTCAGAAAACGACAGTGAACATATACACACACACACAAAGTTTCATGGACAGACATTGAAGGGTTATCAAGACACTGTATTGCACAGATCCACAAGCATATCTTGAGAGCAACGTGTGTATGTGTGTGCACCCTGCGTGTACAAATGCACTTAATTATTCGCATCTACCGATTCGCTGACCTCTTCGCGAGCGAACCCTGCATCCTAGGCACGAGAAGCGACTGCGCAAGCAACAGGCCCTGGATCTTTGTAATATAGGGGCCTTAGTGATTAGAATAGGGGTTTTGGGGATTCCTTAAAGGGTTCTATAAAGGGTTACTATAAGTGTTTAGCATTTAGGGGCCGTAATCATTACCCATACTATTTTGGGGCTTCCCTTTTTGTTCTTATAACTATAGTATAGTATACCTCCCCCCCCAACCCCAAGCGGATTATGAAGGCTCCTACATTACGTTTCTGTTTCTGTTAAAGGGTTGAGGTCAAAGAGAGGTTCAGAGCTTGCAGCTTCAGTGCAGGCTCTGGGAATTTCAGGGCAGAAGGTAAACCCCCAAAAGTTGGAAACCGGATGAAGGACAAGTAGTGCTGCAATTCCGCATGCATTACCCTTAAAGATTGAGGCAAGGGGTTTCCAACTTTTGGGCTTCTACTGTAGGGCTTCACAGACTTCATTGAATGCGGCTAAGGAGTGCGCGTGCCGTATGTCTAGCCATCTACGATCATTGCTTGAACTCCTACGGGGTGAGTCTTCCGTTCGATGACAAGTGTCGCACTTTACACCCTAAACTAATAACCCGACCTTAAACCCTGTGCCCGTGGGCCTGTACTATAGGGGCCTGAATAGCTACCTACCCTATTTTTTTTGGGGGGGTTCCTTATTATGATTACAGTATACTGTACTCCAAAACCCGATTCTAATTATAAGGCCGCTCCATTAGGTCCATTGCATCCAGGATCTGCCCCCCGCTCCTTGGCCCCAGGTTCTTGCAGCTGACGGTATCTATACTTAGGGTTTAGGGTTTAGGTTTGGGTTTAGGGTTTAGGGTTTAGGGTTTCTATCATTAAGTCCCAACTACCTTCTTTCGCTGATGTCTTGCTTAGGGCTTATCTGTAGTTCCCTAAACCCTAAACCCTAAACCCTTAACCGTGGCGCTAGGACTCTTATCTGATTCCGTCTGGGCTGCGTTGATGTGGGATCTCAGGATGGGTCGTTGCAGTCTCGCAAAACCCACCATCTGAAGTCCTCATAGCCTAAGCCCCTAAACCCTAAACTTTTCCTAACCCCAAATCCCTCAAGCCCTACATCCCGAAACTCCCTAAACATCCCCAAACCCAAATCCGAAACTGCGATTTCGGAGCTCCCAACCCTAAACCCTAAACCCTCAACCCTAAACCCTAAACCCTAATCCCTAATCCCTAATCCCTAAACCCAACCCTAAACCCTGAACCCTAAAGCCCCCAAAAAGCGAGAGTTCCCTGGACAGGAGAGAGAGACCGAGCTCCGCCAGATAGAGGCCGGAACCCTAAACCCCAAAACCCCCAACCCTATACCCTAATACTAAGAGTCTTTGGGTTTAGGGGTTTCGGGTTTAGGGTCTAGGGTTTAGGGTTTGGGGCTTAGGGTTTAGGGTTTAGGGTTTTAGGGTTCAGGGTTTTAAACCCTATAACCCTAAACCCTAAACCCCAACACCCGAAACCCCTATAAAGTAGGGGCCTAAACAGTTACCAGTACTATTTTTGGTGGGTTCCTTGTTATAAGTATAGTATGATGAACTTTTCTGAGCCCTACGCCCTAAACTGAACCCCTAAACCTTCAACCCTAAACCCTTAAAGCCCTATACCCGGAGCCCTATACCCGAAGCCCTAAACCCTAAGCCCTAAACCTTAGAACCCCCCCAAAACCCTAAATCCCCAATAAAAAAAACCCTGAACCGGGCTTTGGGGTGAAGGCCTCGGGGGGCGGCGGCAGGGTTTTCCCATCGTGGGTGCGATTGCAATAAGGGATCTCGCGTTTAGGGTTTAGGGTTTAGGGTTTAGGGTTTAGGGTTTAGGGTTTAGGATTAGCTTATTGGCTGTAAACTCAACTTTTCAACTTTTTGGGGTTCTTATAAGGTAGTCGATTNNNTCCTTGGGTTTTGGGCCAGTCAGTTAGGCTTAGTGCCCCAATACCCAAAGTTCAAGCTTTTTGGGTTCTTATAATTTAGTAGTAATCTGAAAGTTTCACCTTTTATTTCCCTGGCTTATGGGGGAAGTAGGTAGGGTCCTTTAACCCTAAACCCTAAGCCTCATAACCCTAAACCCTAAACCTTAGAACCCTAAGCCCTAAACTGCCCTAAACCCTAAACCTTATAACCCTAAACCCTGAACCTCATAAACCTAAGTCCTATAAGTCAACGGTTCCGGGGTTCGGGCTTCAGAGTTCTAGGGCTTTCGGGCTTTCGGGCTTAGGGCTTTCGGGTTTTAGGGTTGAGGGTTTAGGGTTTCTGGGGCTTTAGAGTTTGGGGTTCGGAGTTCCGGCTTTAGAGTTTAGGGCTTATAAGCGGGCTTTCGGGTTTAGGCTCTGATTTGTAAGGGGGTTTGAGAGCTCAGGGGGCTAAGTGTTCCATTATGATGGGACCTATAATGGGGTTCCAGGAAGGGTCTTGAAGGGGTTCTATCTATATATATATATATATATATACATACCTAAATCCTAAACCTAAATCCTAAACCCTAAATCCTCAACCCTAAACCCTAAACCCTATAAGTAAGTTGTTTATTACGGCTGTGCGGTTTAGAGTTTGTGGGGTTTAGGGCTTCAGGATGTAGGCCTTTAGAGGCTTTGGGCTTTTGGGTGTTGAGGCTTCGGGACTTCAGGATTTTGGGGCTTCAGGGTTTAGTGTTTTAGGGTTTGGGGTGTTAGGGTTTAGGGTCTTAGGGTCTTAGGGTTTTAGGGTTTGGGGTCTCAGGGTTTAGGGTTTTAGGGTTTTAGGGTTTAGGGTCTTGGGGTCTTAGGGTGTAGGGTTTTGGGGCTTCAGGGTTTAGTGTTTAGGGTTTGGGGTTTAGGGTCTTAGGGGTTTAGGGTTTAGAGTTTAGGGTTTTCGGGTTTGGGGTCTTAGGGGTTAGGGTTTAGCGTCTTAGGGTTTAGGGCTTTAGGGCTTCAGGGTTTAGGGTTTTAGGGTTTGGGGTCTTAGGGTCTTAGGGTTTGGGGTCTTAGGGTTTAGGGTTTTAGGGCTTCAGGATTTAGGGTTATGGGATTAGTGTTGAGGGCCCTATACCCTGACCCCTAAGAGGGCTTCAAGGTTTAGGGGGCTTTAGGGTTGACGCTTTAGGCTTTAGGGGCTTACGGGCTTGAGGGTTGAGGCTTTCGGGCTTTAGGGTTTAGTCTTGGGGTTTGGGATTTAGGTTTTCGACTTTAGAGTTTATGGGCACGGGTTGAGTCTGTACGTTGATGCTTGAGGGTTTGGGGGCATTGGAGTTTTATGATAATACGTGCCCTAAACCCTAAAACCCTAAACCCTAAACTCTCCTAGAAGGGACCAGTAAACTCCACAGCCAGGATGTGAAATTTCGCTTGTTCCATTTGGGTTTAAACCTTTAGGGTTTGCGAGCTTCGAGTTGGTTCGGGTTTAGGGTTTCGGGTTTGGGGCTCCTAGGCTTTTAAGGTTTTAGGGTTTAGGGATTTAGGGCTTTAGGGTTTAGGGTCTAGGGTCTTAGCGTCTTAGGGTTTGGGGTTTGGGGTTAGCAGGGCCTTGTAACCTGTCCTGTCTCAACCTTTTTTTTCCAGCATTAAGCACTACACTGCACGACTCTAAACCCTAAAACAAACACCCAGCTCCTCAGGAGCAGCAGAGGCAGGAGAATCTCCTCCTAGAGGAGAGGTGCGCATCGCAGGAGGAGCAGGCGCACATCGGCCTGTGGAGTGCTTTGTCTGTCACTGCAAATACCGGTGGATCTACCATTACTTCTCGGTTAGATGTGGTGTTCATGTTGAAAAGCCACGAAGGCAGTTATAGGTGTCGGAAGATTTACTATAAGATTTGCCAGATAGTCCCTGCATGTTCCGAGCAGGATTCTAGTTATGGGGCCCCGCTATTCCACCTGCTTAGCAGGCAGTAGGGTTTCGCTGACACATGGAGTTTCTTAAGGCCAGGTATAAATGAAGGGCTTGAAAAGGGCTGCATAGGAATGTGCGAGTGTAGGGTTTCATGAGGGTCTTTTATCAGGTTAGCATAGACTGCTACTGCTTTTGGTTCAAGTCCTTGCTTCTGAACCGCCAATCTCCGAAAACCAACAGCAGGACGGCTGCACAGATATATGGGGTTTTGATGAACAATAAGTCGGAGTGGTAGTATTCCCTGAGAGTTCAGAGGTAATTCTGGTATAGTATACCCCCAAACACTCTTCTAGTTGTTTACCAAAATCGGAGCTGTACAGGTAGTGAAGCTTACGACAAAGCTGCAGAAGCTTTGGGACAAGCTACCTGGCCTGAACTGACGCCCTGTGGGGTGCAAGAGTTAGGAGGATTGCGAAGTATTGTCCTGATTCAATTATTCTTCTGCCTGACTTGCTACGACTGCGGCTACGATTACGTTGTCGACAACCACGAAGAGTACTGTGTGGCCAGTACTGCTACTGCTACTGCCGTTGCTGCTGATGCTGCCAATTTTGCCAATCTTGTGACTGCCTCAACATCCATTGCGACGACGACCAGTTGCTACTACGACCACCACCACAACTCCTCCTAGTACTACTACGACGAAGAACGACGACGACGACTACTACTACGACTACTACGACGGTGGGTGGAGGAAATCTTGCACCACCTACGTACACTTTTTCGGGTACACATCGAAGCACCAAGCCCGCACCCCTTTTTAACGTTGACGACAGATCTCTTGGGGCGGTGCAAGATTTATGTCAGGGGAACGATTTTGTCAAGCCGCATGTTCATAGCAATGTTTAGAAGGGGGCGCGGGGTGAAGCTTTATTAATAACATATTTAACAAGCTGTGTAAGATTTCCTCCATCCACACTACTACTACTACTACTACTACTACTACTACTACTACTACTGCTACTGCTACTACTGCTACTACTACTACTACTACTACTACTACTACTGCTACTAATACAACAACTACTACTTCTACTACTACTACTACTACTACTTCTTCTTCTTCTACTACTACTACTACTACTGCTACTGCTTCTGCTTCTACTTCTACTACTACTACTACTACTACTACTACTACTACGACTACTACTACTACTGCTTCTACTTCTACTTCTATTACTACTGCTGCTACCGACGACGACCATTACTGCCACTACTAAACTACAGCGACGACTTAACTACGACTACGACTGCGAATGCGACCACGAGCACGACCGCGACCACGACCGCGACCACTACCACTACCACGACCATTACTACGACTGCTGCCAAGAAATAGCACTTTGCACGAGCATCGCAATAACACGGCGACGCAGTACGAACAAAGATCACGTGCTGCGAAGTTGGAGACGGTGGCGGTAGTGGTGGTGGCGCTTTCCTTCTCGTGCGCTGAACTGTTGCATGCATGGTCTGGTTCGAACTACTTCAAGAAATCTCTGAAGCAGTCCTGGGCGCCTACAGTATAGAGCAGATTGTAGCCATCATTCTTTTAACATCTTTCTGCAGGTATTGCTTTACTGTTCGAGTGGTGGTACCAACTGCAACCGTCGGCAGGTGCATGCACGTGCCCTTCATCGCTCATGGCCTTCATGCCCTTCGTTGCAGGAGTGCCTTCTCACAGGTTTCATCGCCTGCAACAGCTGACAGCATCGACAGCAAACTATGACAACATGGATGCAGCTTGTGGGCACTTCTCCGACAGCGCATGTTCCTCAGGGCGGCCCTCATGACAAGCAACCACAACCCCATGTGCACTCAGACATAGCTATAGCTCACACTTGCTGTGTCGCGAGTGCACGGCGCAAGCAGTGCGACTCGCAGCGATGTCTATCCAAAGTCGGGGTGGAAACTAGATCGGCCTCGCCAGCACGGCCTTGTGGCCCGCTGATCTACCCTGTACAAACCGGCCGAGGCTTGCACAAGCCTTCAGATATAAAGAAGTAGACAGCCCAACGATCAAACCGTCCACCAAGAAACCAATCCCAAGATCAGCAAGACTAAGACCACCAACCAAAAGCTCCTGAAGCCCAAGGCTGCGCAAAGCAGGTCGCAAAACTCGCCTAATCAAATTGACTCTCGCCGCAACTGTGGGAGCCGGCGGAGGACAGCCAAGGGATGTCGTCTCGACCCATGTGCCAGAAGGATCACAGCTCGGGTACGGGTTTACACCGCTCACATAGCTATACTTTCAATTTTGGCCACATCAAACAAATGCTGGATAAATTCCACAGCTACCAACATGACAAAAATAACCGGAAACCCTGCAACAAAGACTTGCAGGCTCAACAGTCTTACGAGCAACTGTACTTCAGAGCCACACGGATGTTGACACATTCTGAAGCAGGTTTTCAGCCACATCACAAAATGACACGCCGCTTCCCTATGTCCAAGCTAGATATCGTTCTGCTGTTGGTGGGCATCAACAGGCTCACGAGATCTCGCAGACATCCGTTTTGCTGCTGTCCTGTCGCAATGCGAACAAGTTAGCGACAATCGTTGCTGCCGGTCTGCAGGTTCATGTTGCAGCACATCTGCGAGATGCCGCCTCCAAAGGCTTGGGCACACGTGGCAGAGCCCAGTGTGGCCCCGAAGGGACAGGCTGCAGTCACCATGGGGAGGTTCACAGAGCCAACCATCGCGACCGTGATGTAGGCGGAGCAGCCGTCCGCATTGCAGCCAACCCCTCCTCCCAAGCCATTTCCAGCCCAAGTTAACTTGGCTGTGATACCAACGGCAAAGCCGAAATCCACAGAGATGAAGGCCACCGGCGGATGACCCTTCAACAGCTTGTCCAGGCTTTGCCCAGAGCCAGAGGAAAGCCCGATGTTCATGGAGACTGCCCCTGGGACAGCCTCGTAGGAGTAGCCCGTGGACGTGAACTCGGCGGCAATGCCCAAGCAACCAAGGCCCTCCGCCATGAACTCCACGACGTCCTCTACAACCTTCGCCACGGCGGCCACGGCCGCGTCGAAGATCCTCCTGAACATGGAAAATTTGGCTTAAGTGGGGTTAGGGCGGTTGGGGGTCTCGCTGCTGAACACGGAGCCTCCGGTGTCGTCGCCGTCTTCGGCCCCCGATCCACCTCCTAGCATGAGGATTGTGCAGAAATCCTGGATGATTGACGTGTCTCTGACTCTGAAGTCTTCCAGGGTCTCCTGCGGCGCCTGCGACGCCGTCGGCGACGGCGACGGCCACCTTCGTCTTGGGACTCTGACTCCAACTCCTCGTCCTCACCTTCGGACACCTGATTCGCAGATATTCGCAGATGCATCATTGCTGCATCCAGAGAGGAGTGTCCGTGTCCCACCTGCAAGTAGGTGGGCTCCTCCTCATCCTCATCGTCACTTTCCATGTCGTCAACGGCCGATCTGCTGAGCATGCTGAGCTCGTGCTCCTTGTCCTCCAATTCAATGCACAAGTTGCCAAGCCAGCCGTGCCAGCCGAACGAGCTTTTGACTGTCCTTGTCCTTGTTCTCCTCCTCTTCATTTGTGTCCTCTGCGGCAATTGACACTGGGAAAAGGTCGGAGGGGCCACCCGGCAGGCGGCTTATTGAAGCGCACTGATGTTCCCTTTTCCACCGAAAGCAGGCACGGGATTGTCACGCTCCTCACGATGCACCTCGCGGTGTCCAGCTTTTCGCTTCTGAAACTTCCGAAACTCCACCTGGCACATCAGGCGGCTGAAGCCAGGGCTTTGGCCCGAGCCCTCTAGGTCACTGTATGGATTAGGCTGCAGCAATGCTCCACTCCAGCTTGCAGGTCGCAGCGGAGCGCGTGCATGGAACGCTTGCAGCATCATCTTTGCTCAGTACGAGTAGCTGAGTAGGTTGTAGGTCTGCATGAAGCTTGGCTTACTTAGGGATTTGTGCCGCAGCCGAGATCCTGGAAGAGCTGTGAGTTCTCCCGACATGTGCAGACCCAACCTACATGAACTGCTCGAGGCTGCTGACTACAAGCCCTCCACAGACGGAATGATACAAGTACGAGCCCCTGTCTGCGCTGGAGCGCTTGAGACGCGACATCTCGCGTCCAGGAGACAAGGGAAACGGCTTTGGAAGTGAGGAATACTGCCCAGCCTGGTCCAGCAGCTGAAGAGCCCTGTGACAGCCCAGAGCCCTAAGCTTCCTGTGGCGCAAGGCACTCGGACGACCGGCCTCGTCTCATCGGTGCTGGCGAGGGATTTCATGACGGGGATGACGAACCTGCAGCCGCCGCTCTCAAAAACCGGGCGACTCCGCAACTCATCTTTCTTCGCGAAGGGCGCCTGATCATGGACTCACGGCCTTTGCTGGCGTAGCGCTGGAAGGCCTTCCTGGAAGAGGCCTCAATCCAAATCGTCCAACAGTCAATGCTCTAGGCTCTGCTGTCGGAGTCGGGGGGATCAGTCAAGGGCAACTGGCACGTGTCAGGCCTGGATGAATGCTGGGTCCAGGAACTTTCGGCCAGGGGAGCTCGAGTTTCTCAGCCTCGGCGACTAAGTCTCCACAAGAACCCCCCCCCACACAAGAAAACTTGAAACCGGCATCTAGGAGCCCACAACAGCAAGGAGCCAAGGTGAGAAGATCTCCAGTAAACGCCGTTTTCAGCGCCAAACCCTGACAATACTCTGACACTCTGACACTACCTGCAGATCGGTCAACCAAATGGCCCCCATGTCTGCCATCTGGCATCATCCAAGGGACTTTCCATAGTAACCGTGGTTGTCCTCCACAAAGCGCAGGACCCTCTGTTGAAGGCGCGAACGCTGCTGAATTTCCTTGGATCCGGAGGCTCTTCACAAGTTGAGCTCAGGAGCGCTTGAAGCTTGCTTCGTAGCCGTCACTCAGAGCAACTACCCTCAAAAAAACAGCGTCATGGCATCAAACCTGAGCTTCTGCACGGACATGTCGTGCGGAGTTCAGCTTCATGAGCGCCGTCGTTTGACGGTGTGAGGCAAAATGCAGGTCCCAGAAGTTGCCGTGATCGCACTTCAAGTCCTTGCAGATGGGATGCCAAACCTGGTGCAGCTTCTGCACTGTGACGTCCACGTCTGCGCTCTCCTTCGCGTGTGCATCTAAGACCTCATGCGTCTGTTTGGAGGCCTGGCTCAGTGCTTTGGACATCGCAAAGGTGCGCTGAGCCTTTGCGTCCATTTGCAACAAATTTGCTGGAGGGTGACCGAAAGGTGTTTCTGGATGTTGGAGCTCGTCGCACTGGTACTGTGCTGGGGCCACGTCGTCGTAGTGCAATGCGGGATAAAGCTGCTCAAACAGCAAGCCCTTCTTCAGAACCGGCCAGCCGATCTCCACGAAGGCCGTGATC